ATGGTTTTGATTTGTATTTCCCTGATAATTAATGATGTTAACTTGTATATCTTCTTTGGAAAAATATTTATTTAAATCATTTGTACATTTTAAAATTGAGTTATCTTCTTTACTATTGAGTTATTAATAGTTTTAATAATATATCTAGGTACTAGACCATTATCAGATACATGATTTGCCAGGATTTTCTCATATTCTGTTGGTTATCTTTTCACCTTCTTGACAGGGTCCTTTTAAGTACAAAAGTTTTCATTTTAATGAAGTCCAATATATTTTTCCCTTTGGTTGCTGTTGCTTTAGATGCTGTCTCTAAGAAACCATTGCCTAATTCAAAGTCATGGTGATTTATACCTATGTTTCTTCTGAGAGTTTTGTAGGATTAGCTCATATTTAGGACTTTGTCTATTTTTAGCTAATTTTTGTATATGATGTGAGGTACAAGTACAGATATATTTCTTTACATATGGATGTGGAGATTTCCCACCACTATTTGTTGAAAAGATTATTCTTTTTTTTTTTTTTTTTTGTTACGAGGGATTGAACTCAGGACCTTGCACTTGCCAGGCAGGTGCTGTGCCACTGAGCTACATCCCTGGGCCTGAAAAGACTATTCTTTACCCCACTGAATTGTCTTGGCACCCTTAACCATAGATGTATGGATGTATTTTTCACTCTCAGTTCTATCCCGTCCATCTGTATGTCTGTTTTTAAGCCAGTATGACCCAGTCTTATTACTGTAGATTTCCAGTAAGTTTTGAAACTATGAAGAGTGAATCTTTCAACTTCATTCTTCTTTTTAAGATTGCTTTGCCTGCTCTTAGTTCTTTTCATTTCTATATGAATTTTAGGATCAGAATATCAATTTCAGGAAAAAAGAAGACCTGAAATTTTGATAAAGATTACATTGAATTTGTAGGTTAATTGGGGAACACTGACTTCTCAGTATTTCAAGTCCATGAACTGGGTGTGTACAAACTTAGACTCTAACTAGTTATATCTGACAAAGGAGGCTGGGTCAGACATTCAAAATTAGACAAACTGGGTTAATTGCCAAATACTTATTTCATTTTTAAAGCTATGGGATAAAGTACAGTTTTATTTTGTGAAAGTAGAAAAGTAGACTTATGTAAATTGTTAGAGCCTACCAGTAGTCAAAAATGTCATTATTCTTTTACATTATACACTTCACAAAGACAAGTGCCCATTTAAGAAATCTTAATAACACATAATAATGTAGACATGTCTGAATTTGTTTTATAGAACAGAAATATTATGGCATTTTGTGTGTGTGTGTATGTGTGTGTGATGTAGAGTCTCTTAAAATTTTTTTCATTTTTTTGCAATGCTGAGAATTGAACCCAGGGCCTCACCAATTCTAGGCAAGTTAAAAATCTGAGCCGTACCCCTTTAAAATCTTTTGAATAACATAGATGAAATTTAAAAATTAAAATTAATATATAAATTTAAAATTAATGTATAAGTCAATTACTTCTTGACTTAAGGAACTGAATTCTTCCCCTCCCATAATCTGGCATTTTCACCAACAAGGTCAACCAACCCTGAACAAACTGTACTAATTGCTTCTGTGTTTTCTTACACTGACAAACTTCAGTTCTGACTTCTCTTCCTGAAATGTGAAGCAATTTGATACTGCATTGTAACCATGACGTTACCATAGAGTGTTTAAGTAAACAACATATAATACTTGTTGCCAGTGGTTACTGTTAACAATTACAGGAATAGAATGATTGTTATATAGTAATGACCCCTGAAATAGACTGAGTTCCTTGGCAATGTCTAGATTGTGACATTTCAGTGGTCATAGTGTTACAATCCATCATTTCAATAAGAATTGATGACTTCAGCTATGGCAACTAACCATAATATTTAATGTATCTGCCTCGAGCCACTTGAATACTTTGAAAAAAAAATGTAAGGCATAACATCAAAAGTTCCCTTAGAAAACTCAGGATCTCCATGTATATATTTTAGGGAGATGAATATGTTTCACTTTCTTGTGTAGTTTCTCTGGTTCTTCTGTATAAATGTTAGTGACAGTTGCACATTGGAAATGAGTATTTGTCTATTTTCAGTCTAATCGATCCACTTATTTACCTGTCTACCCATATCAGCATGTTCTATAAAATCTCCCCTCCTTCTTTCCCTCTCTCCTTTGCTTCCTTCCTTCCTTCCTTCCTTACATTACATTTCTTTCATTTACTAATGCCACAGTTTTTAGTAAACAGCCTCTAGTCAGACTCTCTCCCAGTCACTGGAAAGAAGCTGAACAAAGAGACCAGGTTCCTAAGAGGAACCTAAGGAAAGGAATAAACAGGATTGTTTTAGATGATGTTAAAGGTTCCAAAGCACCAAAGCAGTGTGAAGTGATAGACTGGGGGTGGGGTGGGAATTCTGTAGATAAGGAGAATAGGGAAAGGTTCTCTGAGAAGAAGGCAAGTTAGCTAAGTCTGAGTGATGACAAGGAGTCAGCCTTGTGGAGCTGGGGCGGGGTAGAGCCTTAATAGGCAGAGGAAACAGCAAGTGCCAAATACTGAGGCAGCTTATAATAGTAATCAATACAATGAAAAAAGATAAAGGAATGAAGGAAAATGAGAGAACAGGAGAAAGTTACAATGCAAGATACAAGCCAGATATGCAAACCAAAGTTTGGAAAAGTTATTAAAGTTCAGCTGTAAATTTGAATCCCATCTTCGTGGAATCCTTGTTATAAAGGGAAACTTGATCAATCGTACAGTTTGCTTTCTTCATAGGGAAAAAGTATGTCAGTTTCTCAAGGAGAAAGAATCTTTTTCTGACAGTCAGACTTGAAGTAAGTTTTCTTGCATGGACTTTCCTATAAGGGCCATAGAATGATTATATATTAGTGTGATAGGCCTCTCGCCCTATAGATGTTCAAATCCCAATTCCTGGAACCTGTGAACATGTTACTTTGTACACAAAAGGCACTTTACAGATATGAGTAAGTTAAGGACTTTGAGATTGGGAGAATATCTTGCATTTTGTGGGTGGGCCCTGTCTAACCACATGGGTCCTTTAAAGCCTAGAACCTTTCCAATTAGAATTAGAAGTTGTAATGTCAAAGCAGAGTCAAAACGATGCGATGTTGTTGACTTTAAAGATGAAGGAAGAGGGCTTTGAGCCAAGGACTGTGGGAACCTGTAGAAGCTGTAAAAGACAAAGAAACAGATGTAGCCCTGTGAGCCCTGTGTTGGGACTTCTGAGTTAAAGAATTGCAATATTGTATTGTTCGAGTTAACAAGTTTTGGGTTTAAAAAATATATAGGCATATAAATCTAATACAGTTAGATTTATTTTGTTTGTAATAACAGAAATTCATCTACTTAAACTAGCTAAGCAAAATAGTGCATTTTATTATAAAGATCTGGAAATACTACATGGATTTTGAAGGCAGGAATGCAATTTATTTTAGAAAATATATGCTATGACCAGGGACGGGAAGCTGAATAATTTTAGCCCCTCTTTTTTCTTCTCTCTTTAGATGTTTTCATCCTTCCTGTTCTTTTCCATTTTTCCAGCAGTCTGCCTTTTACAATTCTCCAGGCCACATGGTTAAAAAAATGTCTGTGGAGAGCTCCGGGTTTACTATGTTAATGATGTTGTATGTTTCCATGTTAGCTACCTTGAGAGAGATTGAAATCTCTCAGTCCTAATTCCAAATTCCTGAGAGAGTAATGTTATTGGCTTGCTATGAGTCAGGTAACCTACTGTTGGAGCAATTATCTGTAGCCAGGTGGCCTGGTTACCTTGTCTGAGGGCGCAGGGCTAGTTTCCAGGAAAAGATATAAGCCTATAGTGCTGTTTTTTAAATGCAACTTGCAACTCAGCTGGTGGTGAAGAGGCCATTTAAAGAGTGGAAAATAACCTTAAAAAAAAGATAAAAACTCTACATGACATAGTTTTAGTAATGTTTTATAAAACTTGATTCAGTTATTGAATACATAGGTACATGGGTAGTGAGTGATGATGTAAAGCATATTTCTTTTTTATTATATATGTTTGTGACACATAATAATTACATTCCTTTTTTGATGGACGATAGCCCATAAAGTCTGAAAAACCCTGGGGAAGACAATCTGGTAGGATTACACTACAGAATATAAACATAATTCTTAAAATAATTCCTCTAGTAAATGCAGAGGTGTCATGAGTATTTTTTAAAAACAGCATTTTTAACCCCCAAACAGCTTTTCCTAATATAATCCAATGATATAAGGCTGTATTAGTTAGATTTTTGTTGCTATGACCAAATAACCAAGAAAAACAATTTTAAGGAAGAAAGGCTTACTTTTGCTCACAGTTTCAGAGGTTTCAGTCCATGGTTAGTTGGCTCTAAGGCAGAAACATGACAATGGAAGAGCATGGTAAAGGAAAACTGTTCTCTTCATGACAGCTCGGAAATAGAGCAAGAGCCAGACAGAAAGGGGCCAGGAACAAAATATAACCTTTTAAAGGCACACCCCTAATGACCTACTTCCTCCAGTTGGCCTCAGCTCCAAATAGCCCATTCAACCATGAACTCATTCAGGACTAATCCATTGATGAGGTTAGCACCTTTCTGGCCCCACCTCTGAACATTACTGCATTGGAAATCAAAATTTCTCTCAATACATGAGTCTGTGGAGGACGCTTCATATTTACACTATAACAAAGGCTAAAGCATGGCTTCATAAGGCAGTGTTGCAAGAATGAAGACAAAGTGGTACAAATATGTAGCTTTTTTTTTTTGGTATAGGGGATCGAACTCCGGTCCTTGTGCTTGCGCAGCAGGTGGTGAAACCACTGAGCTAAATCCCTGGCCCAAAACATGTAGCTTTTTGATGGTCTGTCTTAACCTAGATTAAAGCCTAGTCCAGTGGTTCTCAACTTGGCTTGTATCTAATTCACCTGAATTCCTTTTAAAATGGCTTAATGGAATCTGTTTAATCAAATTTCTGGACGTGTAGCCTGTCAATCTGCATTTAAACACAAAATAAAGCAAAACAAAAATAACTCCTTAGATGTCTCTCATATGTAGCCAGTTTTGGTAATATGTAGCCAGGTTTGGCAGACTGAGGAGGGGTTATCTGCTTGTCCTTCAAATAATTCTCCATAACTATAGTTTCTTTTACCCAGGCTTTTGTTAGGTATCAAAAAGTAAACAGTTGAAAGTTACTTCTTGGAAAGAGTCTGGAATGTAAGAGGCTTCAGAGCTGCATGTTGAAGGTAGATCCATACACTTCACAGTTCAGTGAAGCAAATGGTAGTTTATCTTCTCTTTTAGACACCGTGGAACATTCACGGTTGGATACGTGGCAGAGAAAAAATTTTTGCAGGCTGTTCCGGAACCTTGTTAGACAATAATTCTGTACTATATTTCTCTAGAACAATGTCTGGCCAAGATTCCAAATTTTTACAGCATAAGAAATCGGTGGAGATAATTTGTGCTTGAAAAAAATGTTCAAAACTGAAGTTACCAAATTAGCCATTTTTAGCTTTTGATAAAGGCAGGATGAATTAATTGCCAAATGGACACCTATTTTTAAACAAATGGATCGATCCGCTTTACCAAGTTATTGACTATCATTCAAATTAATTTTAGAGAACACCTGTCTCAAATAATTAGGCTAGTTAGTATAAGGAGAGTTGAATATCTTCCCCACAGCTGTTAGAGAGCAGGACCCCAGTCCACAGAAGCCATTCCTAATTCAGGTCAATCAATAGCTGTATTAGCATACAGCTGGTGCCCGTATTTTTAGCCTCCTTTGCAGGCTACATGGATTCAGATGGTCCTACATAAGTTTTCGGCTAATGCCTGTTCCAGGGTTTGTCATTTGATCCGTCAGGAGTCTTTCAGGGCTTCTGAAGAGACAAACACCATAAGCCTGAGGAGTGATACTCTCACCATTGTTTGTCTTTTCAGGCCATCTCGGCACCCACGGTAGTGCCCAGGCCTTGGCCCTAAATGAGACTATTGGCCTGGATATCACCTCACTTTTGTTATAAAGCTTTAATTTCATGCAACATACGGCTCCTTCTCTGCACTACAGTCAGGATTTTCAATTTGGTCCCTAAAAGGAGCTGCCGGTCCGGACGCCTTGGACCACACCCAAGGCACTTGGACACCGTTGTGCAGCGGGTGACTGCTCATGAGCTACGCAGCAAGGAAAAGGGGTTTCCCTCCAGTCCCAGCGCTTTGTCCCCGCGCGGCCCCCGTCCGTCCTCCCTGGAGCCGCTTGCCGGTCAAAAAGTTAGTTTCTCCAGGTTCCGGGCTCGGCGACATCGGACGCGAAGTGTGAGTCCCTTCGAGGACAAGCTCGGCCCGCTGCTCGGGGTGAGTGGCCACTTGGGTCGCCGCTCAGGTTCCGCCCCATCGAAGGGTGCGGCCTCCCAAGCGGTGGGTGGTCCGGGCCGTTGCTATGGCAACACACAGGCCAAACGGGCCAGGGCCGGCGGGTTCCCTCGTCGGGTGTCCCGGGGCCCGGCCGTTGGGACCCCACTTTCTCCTGTCTAGTGCTTGGGGTGGGCCCTGGCTGCCCCGGCTCATACACATCTCACCTCCACCCCATGCTTGTGAACTTTTTTGCAAGTTTGAAAGCGAACTTACTGTAGGGTAAGTGTGTGGGAAAAGTAACACAGTATTAGGAGTTCAGAATGTGAGGGTTTTTTTTTTTTTTTCCTCTTTTCTTTTTAAATTTCCTGGCCCATAGTAGGCCCTCATTATATGGGAGCTATTTCTTCTAGCACTTACTATAGTCCCTTGCATACCGTGAGTGCGCGTTGAGAAGAGATAGGATGACATAGATCCCCTACTGGCTCTGTAGGTAATTAAAGCCCTCTGCCTCAATTTCCTAATGCAGATTATAATTTCTGACCAAATTGTGGGTTTAAATGAGCCATTTATATGTGAAAAGTCTTATGAACGGTAAATGTGAAGCCCTTGAGAGTTAGTTGTAGGGGACAGCTGCATGCTTAAACTGTTTCCATGCTTCTGGGCTCACATCATCAGCCGAGGAGGAGCTTTTTTGTTTGGCCTCTCCTCAACTCCAGTGTCCAACCAGGATATTGGAGGCTACGCATAGGAGGAGTGCTCTCTGAATGTAAAGAGCCATCAACAGGTTTTGCACCTAAAGCTTTCCACAATTTGTTCTTCATGTTCATGCCTTCTATTTGGGACCGATATGCAGATATAACACACTTCTAAAACTTTAGCCCGTGAAAGTCCTTCGTGTTTGTAGTTCAGTGAATCATACCGCCCTCTATCCACGTTGCAAAGAAGAAATCTTGGCCTCATCCATGGGACCTATCACTCTTCCTTCTGTATACAAATAATCTTCAATTTGTGTTCATTTTGTTTTCACACCAAATATCAAATCCAAGCACTTATTTCTGTCTCTACCTCTGTCATTCTCAAACAGGCAATCAGTATTTCTTCCTCCGATTCGTGTAGTAGCTTCCCAACTGGCCTAAAGGTATTCTTCTTGTCCTTTAAATATTCCCATCCATTTGCTGCACTGCAGCAGGAGTTATGTTTCAAAAATTAAACTTTGATTATGCTATCCACTGTCCTACTGGATTAAGACCCATCATGGCTTCCCATAATTCTTAGAATAAAGGGGGAGGGGAGGGTGTTTGTCTCCATAGAAGCACTGAGGCTCCTGACAGATCAATGACAAATCCCAGGAACAGGTTTTAGTTGTGTCTAGTTAGTCATCTAATTTATCACCTAAAAGTTTGGTGACCATTTATTTTATCATTCAGAACAAGATACTTTTGATAATAAAAGTGAGTGTGGTATTATTTATCCTGGGACAAAAGTCTTAACCTGGAACTGTTTCTCAGGCAAGCTGGGCAAATGTTTATTCTACATTGGCTCTTTTTCAGTCTTTTCTCACCATTTTTCCTCCTACCACAGGGACTTTGCCCATGCTGTTCTACCTACTGGGTTTGTCATCTTCTCTTTAGTAAGTCTTGCTTGTCCTTTGTATCTCAGGTCAAGTGTTTTCCCAGGAAGTCTGCCTCTGACTAGTCTGTCTAGGACAAACCTCAGTATAATAGACAGATATCCTTCCTTTGTGGCATTTGTCACAATTGCAATTTAAAATTTGTCCATGTGTCTGGTGAATAGTATGTAGTTACTAATATGTGAATATTTGAATTATAAGCATTGTCTCATGTCATTAAACAGTCTGAAAATATCACGCAGTGGTTAGGAGCACAGACTCTAGAGCCAGACAGATGACTTAGATTTGAATTCTATCTCCACTACAATTCCTTAGCTGAAACTTATGGGGCTGGTTAATTTTTCAGCTTATAGAAAGAACATGATATGGATACTGTATTGCATCTAGTGGAGTCTGATAATGTCCAAAATGTCATTAAACACATTAGCTTTTCTTTGTAGAACAAATCCACTCAAATTGGGATAAAGACCATATATAGATAGTTTCCCAACAGTTCAGGTCAGGGTTTGCTAACAAATGAATTTGCCACAAATTTATGAAAACACTGTTTTCACAGCTTTCTGGAGTTTTGAAATTTAGCTAAGGATGTTAGAGTCTGTCTTAGTGTATCCTTGAGCTAATCACTTAGTTTCTCTATGCCTCAGATCTCACATCTGTAGGATAGACATGATACTAGCACCTGTCTCCTTTGTAGGTTCCATGCTGAATTGTTCTGAGAAGATTGAGTTAATACATGTGAATCTCTTAGAACACTGATGGCAAGCCTTTCAATGATACAAACATCTCGCTGCAGCACACATGCCATAGGTTCCCCACCACTGTCTTACAACACTGACTAGTCCTTAGGATTATATAAGGGTCAGATCGCGTATCATTTTTATTAGCTCCATAATAATTAACACTATGGATGAAATAATTTATCTGCTGTTTACTTATTGTTGGATATTTATACTTAAAGTACCAAATGTAACAATAAATGTCTTTATACTTAGATCTTTTCTATTACAGTTTTGATTATTTAAGATCAATTCCTAAAAATGAAATTACAGAACCAAAGACAGGAATGTTGTGAATGTTCTTATACTATATTGCCATACTGCTTTTCAGAAAGACTATGCAGTTTACAATCCCCTTATTAATTTTATGCCCATGTTGGTATTATTTTTTAAATTGCTAACTTTGCAGATAAAAATGATACTTCCTTATTTTAACTCTCATCCATCATTATGTGTTTAAACATCAAACTGTATTTATTATCATTTCTTCTCTGTGAATTTTCTGTATAAACTCTTTTTCACTGGACTCAACTTTAAAAAATATTTTTATTTTTAATTGACCCATAGTTATTATACATATATATGTGATACAGTGTGACATTTCAGTACATGTGTACAATGTGTAATGATCAAATAATAGTAATTATTATATTTACACTTCACTTATACACCACTTCTTTATGTTTGGGACATTTGAAAATTCTCTCTACCAGAACAATAGAAGTTATTTCTCCTATGCAACTACACCCTTGTACCCGCTCAGCATCCTCTCTGTTTTTTTCACATCAGTGTTAGTTGCTTGATTTCTGTCTTCCTAGCCCAAGCGGGAGCCAGTGTGCTGGGCTTTGGCTCGGATCAGTTGGATGAGGTATCCCTGGAGCCTGGGGCAGGTTATTACTTGCCTGTAGGCTACCACATAAGGTAGAAAGCCATGTTCAGAGGCTGGGTCTTGGGGAAAATTTGAGACCTAGAAAAGGCTAAGTGCCTGTTTACCTAAACCTTCAGTCAAACAGGGCTTGGAAAAAAGGACAAACAGGTAGGGAGCAAAGGACTAAAGTAGACAATAGTGAGAGGCGCAAAGCTGGGCCTGGAAACTAACTTTCTGTGGGCACACTGCAAATTCTTCTACACGGGGAGGGGAGTTGGAGGGCTGTCTTAGCCACACATTGGCCAGTAAAAATATTAACATTTTGCTTGTCAGATGGGGCATTTCCCCCGGAATAGCCTTTTCATTTAATTTATGATGGCTTTTTGTTTTGTTTTATTGATTTATGTAATTTTTTTGGTGGTGTTGGGGACTGAACTCAGGGCCTTGTGCTATGTTTTCTTCTACTGAGCTACACCCAAGCCCCTGTGATGATTTTTGATTTACAGAAATTAAAACAATTCTAGATTTAATATTTGCCTTTATAAGTCATTGCTTTTATGCTTAGAAAGTCCTTTCCATATAGAAACCATCAACATTTTCTCTACAAATGTTATTTTGTGATGTCAGCAAATGAAGACGTAGTGACACTAGTTAAAATTAATGTGATTTCTAAGAAAAACTCTAAAAGATGATTATAAAAAGATGTCTATGACATCTTTGTGCCCCTTGAAGATGGAAGAAAGGAGTTTATGCTGCTGCAGAGGAGATTGAAAAATGCTTTTTTCTGATGGTGTCCACCTTATTTTGTGAATCTGTCAAGTCTTATCCTTGGAAAGACTTTGGAAAGTGTCTTCTGAAAGAGATGTGATCTTCAGATATTTTCTACTCTTATTCATCTGAGGATCCTATATAGTATTTCAAATGCTCATAGTTGCTAGATACTGAGAAATAATTTCCCTGGTTGTAATAGAGACTTAAAAATTGAAAATGTGACATAAAATTAATTGCTGCCTTTTTTGGCATTGATAAATTGGTATGCTTTCAAATGTGGTTTTCTTTCTGCTGAACTCCAGTATGTATTAGTGAGGCTAATTGTGTTTTGCTTGGATCTGTCTTAGGGCTCTAGAATATAAAGAATGGGAAACTAACTGTTAAATTATATTAATATATCCACTCTTGGTTTATTAACTAAAATAAATTATAGAGTACATAAGAAACTAATTACCTCACAAGTTCTTGCAGCTTTATTGACCTGAAGTTGTTTTATTGAAGAAAGGTTTGTAAGGTGAGGGACAGTGACCTTAATAATTAATTAAAATACCTTTTCTACATATAATTGACTGCATAAAATTATCTTTCTTAATAACCACTAATGTCAGTGTGACTGTCAATCAGGATATGATGTTACATTAGGAACAAAGAGAAAATAAATTTGCTATTGATGAAGGTAAGTTGATTAAAAAATTTAATTTAAAAATACTGTTAATAAGCCAGGTGTGGTAGTGCACATCTGTAATCTCAGTTCCTCAGAAGGCCAAGGCAGGAAGATCACAAGTTTGAGGCCAGCCTGGACAACTTAGCAACTTAGCAAGACCCTGTCTCATTTAAAAAAAAAAAAAAAAATCAGCTCCTTCGTAGTTCCCCAAGGGAGGCTGGAAGTAGAGGTTACCAAAGTGAAGGCACTTTGAATTACAGTACAAACCAAAAAATAAAAAATAAACCCCTC